TGTCGCTCTTCATCATGTTCGGAACCTGATGGGACGAGTTTGCGAGAATCCATCAGTGTGATAGACTTTGAAGAAATCCAGTGGTTCTTTGTAACCCTGTGGTTTAAATCACTGATAGACGTCACTGCTGTTCCCATAGCTGTTTGTATAGCTTTCCAAGCAACATATGGGTCAACCTCGTCTTCAGAACTACCTAATTGTGACCTCAGTTGTTCCCGGAACCTACTTTTGGTTTACTCGCTTCTCAATTCAGTTCTAATGGGTCTTTTTAGTGTGGCTGTTTTGCGTCCAGTGAGGTGCAAGCAGATGCGTGCCCGTATTAGGGCATGGTCGGAGTCCAAGCAGGTACTCCAGAATGAGCGACAATCTTCAACCGACCCTCTCCAACGATGACTGATGGCAATATGGTTTATTTGAGTCCATCGTTGGTTTGGTGTAGGGGGTCGCCATGTTAGACGACGTCTCTCCTTATGCCTAACATTTGTGTTTGCTAAAAATAAGCGATTGTCTGAGCACAGTTGCAGCAGACGGTCACCATTATCTGTTCGCTGTGCCGGAATGCTAAAATATCCACCTAAATGCCTTTCTGTTTGGTTTAAGCTACCTATCTGAGCATTAAAGTCACCCCCTACGAGTACTATGTCTGAGCGTTTAGCTTTCTGAAGAAGTTCGGACAGCTTTCTGTAAAATTCATCTTTCACATCATCTGAGCTGCAGTCAGTGGGAGCGTAGGTAGAAACGACAAAAAGGCAACGATGTGTCCCTCTCCTTCCGAGTTTTTACGGAGCCGTTTAGCCGAACAGCACATAGGCGACTGTTGACGGGGATCCACTCTAGCAGTGCTTGTTCCGCCCTCATGCTTAGTGTTATGCCCACACCTGCCAGTCTACGAGAGCTGGCTATCGGGTCACCAGATACACGGAGGATGTATCTCGTTGGCTCTCCGTGTTGCGGTGGTGAGGTCAAGTGAATGACCACACTGGAATCCTGTATGCGTGTTTCGGAGACACAGCATACATCAATGGTACGAGATTCTAGGGTTCTAGCCAGGGAAGCCTGTTGACCGATTTGACATAGGGTGCGTACGTTGAGGGTTCCAATGTGTAGTTTGGAGCGAGGTTTCAGTAGACCTGGGACAGAGTTTTGAGCACTAGAATCGTTGGCTATGGTGACACTTGAGGGGGAAGCCGAAGGAGGAGGTTTAGGGTTGAAAGTCGATGTAGGAGGAATAATAGGAATTGAAGAGGAAGGTTGATTATGAATACAGTGGTCTTGAGTGCTGTTAGAGGTATGAGGGCGGTTATCACTTCCCGGTTGCCCACACCGTGGAAGGGTTCTGCTGGAGGTACCTGAAAAGGAAATTGGATTAGAGGTGGTCATAGTGACCTGGGAGCGTGACCGCAGTGCCCAACGGACAACTGCTTGAGGCCGGTCGCGCACGGCCTTTTCGTGGGAGGTTTTTGACGTGTTAGCTCCGTTCTTCAAAAGGGGCCTTACCGCCGGAGACGGAAATCCGTGAGGTGTGCATTTTTAGGGTCGACCTTTTCCAACCCCACCCCTCCTTGTGGGAAGGCAGCATCGCTGTCATGCTGGTTGTCTGAAGGAAACACCTTACTGCTGTCACACCTCTGTACAGCCAGCAGTACGACTTCGCCTTCGGACCTTGGGTTTGTTGCTTTTAGTCTTACCGCTCTTCAACCGACCTGTCTGACATGGTAGGACCTTGAGGAACGGTTGTTCCAGCCAGCATAGCTCGGTTGCTTCATCACGATAGGCAAGCCCGACCACCACGTCAAGGTAGCAACAACGGTCGGGAGAGAGGACAAACCAGCTTTCAGCTGAGGAGGAAATTAGGAAGAGACGATGGAAATTGATACCACATATATTACAGAAATCACCAAACTGCATCACGAGACATGCCCTAACTTGCAATCCTGAAGGGTAGAGGAAAAGAGGAAGGTCGAAGAATACATTACGTCGCGAGATAGAAGCAGATATGTAAAGGATGGATAACAACAGGAAAGAGTATGAAAGAATTGCCCAGGCAGGGTTGGGTGGAGAGTGCTGGTGTGCGGCCTATATTCCTCCACGAGAAGTAATAGCCCTAAGAATGGAACTTGAAACGACTTTAATCTGGTAGAAATTAAAGGTCTAAGCTAGGAGACCCTATTACATATCAGATGTAGACAGACTACGAGGCTTTTCTGTTCAGAAGGAGCAAATATGTAACCCAGTATTTTAGTCATATTTATTTTTTAAAGCAGTTAATCTATAGGTGATTTGAATTGTCTACATGAATTAAGTTATTGACTAATTTTTTCCCCAATACTGAACAGTTCAACGTATTCAGACCTGACATAACTCAGAGTATCTTTAATAAAGCTGTTGATCAGTTCGTAGATTTTATTCCTGATGGGTAGCTAAGCAATCATCTGAAGTCTTACTTATTTCTGTCTCAAGCAGAAAGTTATATTCAGCCAAACAGTAGAAATACTTTGTTTCAGTGAATACATATTCGAAATAAATAATCTTATCAAAATCTTGTGGGGTAATATACTGTATTTCTTAGGTATTCATTATTGTGATACTGGTTTTGTGCAGGAATTAAGGTATCATATTTCTCCCCTACATTTGCGGATGCTGAACTCCAGAGTACGTTCCATCTCCTATTCTGCTCAAGTTCATGAGGCCAAATATTAAGATAGATGCAAATACGAGAGGACGGTTGTGGGTGAGTGATTTGTCCTACCAAAAACCATCGTCTATTTTGTCATTTTAACAACCTACAAATATATATGAGCTAAAGAGTATCAATCAGCTTCCGATAATAGAGCTATCCTCATTTTCTTCCTCTTTATTGTTGGTTGATCAGGTATTATGAGAGCACATTGGTGACCAAATAGAATAGCAAAAGATAATGACCCAGTTTTAATGTCAGTGTTAACTCACGACTGGGTACCTACCACATGCGGCACCAAAATCTTTACTAATTAATATATGCTACCATTTAATTGAAGTTTAAAATAATGCATTTTGCCGGCACGGTAATAATTCTGAGATGTATTCGTTATTTTCGTTGGTAATTATTTCGTCAGGCCTAACGATGCATTCTAGTAGTTGAAAGTCGACTCATATAGGTAAACAACTGACAGTAAGCACAGCGCGGATTATCCTAGAATAATATTTCAGCCGAGGTTATTTATCAGCAATCAACGGGTATGACACCATCCAAAATCCGGATTTAACGTTCTCTAGATATTTCATGCCATGGTTAAAAGACTATGACACAAGTCTGCCTTTCTTCAAGATCATAAATTTCCCTTCATTACGTAGAATATTACAGATTCTTGTTACCCCTCCCTGAGGCACTGGCTTTAAAAATAATAGGGTTATCTAACAAATGACTATTTCTCACAATATCCAAAATATATAACTCCGGTAAGAGTGAAGGTGCTACAGGTATTCGGAGTTTGACAACGCTTTAACCAGTAACACCTAACATGAAGCGTACCCACCAAGTGAAATCAAAAGACAGAAGCGAGGAGGTTAGAAGATATATTTGATAGACTATCAATATATTGAGGATCGTCTGATCTAATCTGGCTAGCGATTGCAGGGGTTGTTGAGCACGGCGTTCCCACTCGTGATCAGGTGCGGATGCATGACCGAGCGCCTACAGCTAGGTGAGTCCATTAAAACTAATGTGGTCAGTATCCAATGTCGAAAACTCAGAGAGCTATTTATTTTGGGAATTTATTTACCGCTACAAGAGCATACTAAGCTGATCTTAAGCGATTTATCTGAGAGTATGTAAACGCTGTCTGATTATTTAACAATTAATAACACGGAGCAATGAAATAACATTTTTGATCTGAATAATTGATTAGCACATATCAAAATATCCCTTGTAGAAAAGAAAAGTTTTAGTCTACACATATACCAAGTGTCGGGATAGTGTGAGTTAAGGTACTCTCCCAATAGAGTTTTCATCACTAACTGATATTAGATATAATGTAGAAAGGTTAGGATTAGTTACTAGACTATAATTTATGAACGACTGTTGAGCGAGGTCCAAGTGACTTTGAGACAAATACCCTATTTCCTAGGGTAAGACAAGAACCTAGAGCTCACATGAAAGTAATGAAGTCTAAGCATAATCTACAGAGCTCAACTGTACGTTTACAAATTGACTAGTGAAGCGAATACCTGGAGTAATACCATCCCCTTAAAAGGAGGCTCACAAAATCACTTCAAGAAAGGCTGGCTTTGCCACTGGAACTCGTCAGAAATTTCATCTAATTTCTGACTTATTTTCTGATAGCCATATTTAAGTGAGTGGTCACTCAACACTCATGTGACCTATCCGAAAACCTTAAGTCTCAAGAACAACCTAATTATTCTTTTCCTTTGGCATAAATGCTTGATTCAAGCTCATAGCACCTAAAATGGATACAAGAGGAAGAGTATCGACTGATTAAACCGCTCGGCAAGTAGTAAACTTACCAAAAACATTTTATAATATTTTCATCAGAACCTAATAACGATTGAATAAACAATTTCTTCAAGCACTTACTACAATAAAAAACTTGTGGAAAGGCAACATGAAGTATGTTATATTGAGTACTCGTCTCTAGATCCCATTGGTATTTTATGTGGTGCTAAACCTCATGCCCCTATGCTTCCAAAACGAGTCCTCACTTCATCAGTAAATAGAATTTTAGAAAACAGCCACTACGCAAATACAGCATGCAGTGTTAAGGTTTACAGACTATTTTTAGGCAGTTAGTTTATTGACCAAACAATCTCTCGAATAAAATTAATGTGCAGACTGGGCATAGTGATAATTGGTTAAATTTCAGGCCTGTCTGTGCAGTTTTCGTAAAAACCAATCAGCTTGCCGCAAAGGCCACAGCTAATACAAATAAGATTTTGATTTGATGAAATTAATGTGTGGGCGAGATACGCTTCTACATATAGTATTCTCCGATCTCAAGGCTATTGACAAAGTTTCCACTTCAAGTGACTTGGTCTTTCTGCTTGGTGGCGCGGTGTTTGGTCGATTATCTTATTGCTTTATTTGAACAATGTCCGAAGAGTGGAAAAAACGGTGTGAAAACCATGTAGATGAACACAAAAGCTTAAAACATTTACATATAACGGATCACCAGGGAACTCCCTACGGCTCATCTAGTCCTGATTTCCAAGTAAGTCCACCTTGTTTTATTTTTAAGTCGAATGTCTACACTGCTTACACCACTGAAAGATTAAGTTGATAAAAATAATTCTTAAACAAACACCGGTCGACAATAATAGTGGCGACCCATCTAATTAACGATTAGACATTTCGATATTAGTATGATCTCATTCCATGCACTAGTTATCATGAACCCACCAAAATGTTCCTCGTGGACCTTATTTTGTACTCTGAATTCGGTCACTGTGAATCTAGCAAGTCCTCGGGTTTCGTAGGAACTCAAGTTAATAATAGAGCAAATTCATGTTTCATTAAAGGATTATCTGAGGAAATTCCCAATAATCTTTCACAAAAGATTGTTATATCAGATAGGGGATTTACTAAGGATTTAGTTTTTGACCACAGTGCTCAGACTATCTTGTCAACGTCGGCACGTCCTCACTTAGTGTGGGGCCAGATAATGTATTCATGTCTACAAGTCCCTAGATTGCGTCCATTAGATATGTCGAGGAGCTCCGATCTAGACGAACAGTAATGCCTATGTTTGTGATTTTCGGTCATGTAAGTATCAGGAAGGTTTATAGTTTTACATTGGTGAATTCGTTTAGAAGTCAATAATTAGTCGAGACTACTATTTGAGCGTTGGAGACGATACAAAACCTAACAACTGATGTGTCCTGTGCAGTCTGACTGTCTGTCCAGGTTTATGGCGAACCCTCTGTTGATGAAGTCGCTCGAAGAAGGTGTCTGTTAGACGCATGCTTAGTATGCGTGATTATGTTTATTATATTTCGTCTTCTGTAGTTGGTGTAAAGTCGCTTCATCGCACCACGCGTCACTACGTGCTAAAGGAAGGCTCGTACTTGCTGACTATTTGAAGCTGTATGTTGGTCCAAAAATGCCTTTATTCAGTAAATAATTAATAGGAGACCTATTGTACTTGTGTTTTGGTGTGGTAAAATTGACGTGAGCTAAGCTATAAGGTAAAAGAATTCCTTGGATTTATCAAAACCCCGTATCAATTTACACGAGTGATTTTAGTCAATAATATTTGTAACTAGAATTCTGGTTAAATGTAACTTATGTTCAATGGGCGTATTTGAAGCTTATGTAACAAGAACCAAGTCGAATACCATGTATCTTAAGATGTATTATACAATGATTTGTGCCTATTATTCCATTTGTATTAGTATGAACTATTATTTAGTAATTTCCCTTAATCGGTTTTTTTGTTCTTCAGCTATCTCCCGAGTTTGTGCTTCAGCTCAAATCATTACTTACTGATGACAAAGACACCTCTTTTACTTTCATGAATGAAAAGTACATCATCATACGACGCGATCCGACTAGTTTTATCAGCAGATGTCTCAAGAAGTCAATTTTATTCCATATCACACCAAAACGTTAGTCTCATTCCATGTGCATTTGTTACTTGGACTTTTTATCTTTTATTTATCTTGACCAATAGGTCAAGATGATTAGTTATCTGATTAAACGCCATTTTATGATAATTCTTGGTAAATGACGAATTGATTCACTTGTATGTCGATAAAATAGTGTAACACATTTTCCAAGTGAAGGTTAATATACTGTATTTGAAATCATTTTGTGAAGACGAATCATACTGCTCGATTTTGAAACCATATTTGGAACGGGGGTTTCGATACGCTTCATAGCTACTAAAAGTTAAGTGTTTCAACCACTCAGTGAGTAAATGTAGGCACAGTACGTCTTGGTGTTTATTGGTTAATGTCGGATCATAATTTGAAGTATAAATGAACTTTGTTGAAGTACTTTTATTCTAGTTTAACTAAGCGTTTCCAAGGAAAACTCGCGTCAGGACGTTCGCAATTTGATTGAAAAGTATATTTTTTACTAAGCCATTAGTAAGCGGTTTGCTCATTTATAACCCTTGTTGTTGGACCTCGGTTTTTTATTGTAATTATTTGTAGTAATCTCAATGTTTTCTAACGTAGACGTGTGCCGTAATCTAAAACTGTATATAGTAAATGGACGACCTTGTGCAAGTAGTAACGTGCTTTAATTAGTTTCCCGATTATAAGCAGATATGTGTTCCATTTCATTTTGGGGTCGTATTGATGTACAGCATATGACAGTTTGGACTGAATTTAACCAGTGATACGAAGCAGTTGATATCAGTCTCGCTATTCAAAGTGTCTCTATTTGTGTCTTATCATTTCAAAGTACTTGCAAAACTGGCACGACTTCTGTTTGGTATGAGATAAGCGGAGAAGACTGGTGTCATATGCGAACCACTTTGCATCAGTAATGCCAGAGTTGTTCTATCTATTGACAATTAGTTGAAGTACAGTATGACGTCAGTTGCGCTGCCTAGCACGGAGGTTATGTGGGACTTACTCATGTAAAGTCGACCATATTTTTATGATAATATGAAATGTAGGGTTAAGATGAAACTTCCAATGTAAAACGACATCTATATCCGGGTTATTTGGTCGTACCATTTAATAGAAATTAGTTTTGCTGTAGGTACGGTAGACCCTATCTACATTTAATTTAGTTAGCTCTCCATCCGATCATTGTCCAGTAATTTACATCCTCCCATTAATTGTGCAAACAAATATTTTATTCATTTTTATTTATTTTACAATATTTGCATATAAGTGACTGTTTTATTTACTCAAATAATTCAGTCGGCCAGCGGTTCTGTCTTTTGATGTTCATTCAGTTGCGATTTGAGGACTCAAAAAGTCAAAGTGGATAAAATCAACAGGATGGATTCCGTGAGTATTGTCTATTCAGCCATCTCTCTTCAGTGTTCATTCGATCGGCGTTCGCTCTCAATCAAAATGAAGGTTGTTACAGGTTTGTAAATTGGCCGTATCCTGCACCCATTTTGTGAGGGATATTACTGTAAATTTTTTGGTTAGTCTTTTGCTAAACAACTCAAGTATTGCTCATCAGGAATACTGTCCTATTCTGACTTCTTGCTGCATACTTCTCAAATGCATTCATACAGTAATTACTAATGCATTTATTGTTCTAAACATTTTATTTTCAGTTTGCTTGGTTGGACAGACTGTCGACGATATTCTAAATAATTGCAATCCAGGAAACCATGCAATGAGCTGTATTTGCGATTATTACAAGAAATATAATTACTAATTAACTTTGCGTACGATGCAATACATCGTTCCTCTGATGTATTTGATTGATACACCAATAAATAATGCCCATGTATTAACCTTTGCTTGTTTCCATTTTTGAACTATTCATTTTTGTCTGTAGGGTTTTATCTAATTCGATTTAAGGTTTAGTGCTGCTACCACCAACTTATAGCACAGGTGTTTGTGTTTGCTCAGATCACCATTTTCCATGTTTTAAAAAATGAATGTTTACTAGATTGTAATTTAAGTGCTATAGCTTCCTTTCTAAAATCCAATGGAGTGTGTTTCGTCTGTAAAGATTTTTGATACTTCAATATTTTGAAAGTTCTTATGCATTATCATTAGCTTGCTTGTTTTCATGAATTGGTTTCATATATTTACCAAAATTTTAAATCGCTAAACTATCGCCACTACCTGAATAAGGGAACTGTATTTTGTTATAATTGGATTATTAAATCAACACCTTTGCTACAAAACTTGTTTTCATTCCAGTCGAAATCGTCTTACGTTAGGTTGCTTCCACCTTACTACAGGTATATTTTAGATATGCCTCGAAATCGTACTTCCATTGCTACTATCAAATCCACCCATGGTTTGTTCCCGTAATTCCTTACTGGTACCAGGCGTGAGTATGAGCCGCGCATCGTGACCATTACATGTGCTAATAATGTATGGAGTTGTAGTCTAATATGGTTGGTCTCATTTTGTTTCAAAACTACAACAAGAACGCTCACTGGCTGTATTTATTACCCTATGTCGTACAGTCGTTTTTCAGAGATAGAAAAATGGGATAGTTAGGAGCTAAAAATTGTATATGGTGACTAATTGCCGCGATATTGAAGTCACCCAGTTTTTCCCGCTACTTGGTTTACATGTGTCAATACTAGGAATATACTCACTAGCTTTGTGTATCTCGTAAATTGGCTTCATCTATCGTAATCCAGGTAATAGTGTCCTACTAGTTTCCACGGACCATCGGGCCTCTTTCGAGTTTGTTGATATAATAATGCATGACAAGTATTTATGCGAAATTGGGACCTCTAGTCTCCACGCTAGGTGTCGGCACTCATTTCCCATTACACCTTTATCCTGACATCCAAAAGCGGCTCTCTTATGGTCTGAGTAAATAAGTAGTGTACAACTTGTACTAAGATATTTGCGTATAGGAGAATTGATTAGTGAGACCGTAGATCCATAAATATCGTAAACAATGTGAGACGGTATTCCACTATTCAAAGTGGTGAGTGGCTAAACAATTACACCTACCGTATATTTGCCCATATCTGGGTTAAAGAATATAGCTTCTAGGAGATAGGACGCAGTCGCTGAAAGGACGGGTACACGCGGACCTTTTTGAGGGCGATTCACACCACATGGGTCTTTCAGGTGGAGGTTGTGCTATAGTGGTCTAAATCATCTATCTTCGGTTGGCGTCGTTTTATTTTACCAACTGTGCTGCAAGGTGAATGTTATAAGAGATGCAGAACTCGTGTTTTACGGACTTTCGTTCCCAGTGGGCAATTGTGTCTCGAGGATGTCCTCAGTTTTTCGGATCGTATGGTTTCGTTTGCGATTGTATTACGTGCTAACTAGGAAAATTGGTTTCAAAGCACCTTTTAGGTTACAATTTAAGACAGTTGGTCTACAATATGTTTCCGCAGGAAATGTTTTGAGGGCGTTTACTACTGAGGAGTTACGCAGTTTGTCGGGGTCAGTAAATCAGAGTTTTTTAAGTCTGGTGTCCGTTTCGTTTAAAATCAGTAGTAAGTGCTGCAGAGTGACGTCTTAGCCTTCGTTTACTTGTCTGGACATCATCGTAAGTCTCATTTTAAGACTGATCGGAACCACAAACATAAGCTGCGTAAGAGAACTTCCATATTAAGAGGAAATTAAGGCAATTGTCTATGAACAAGTGAGATGGGGTAGTTGTTCACTCTGCTTAATAGTTTCTCAGTTTGTATTGAAATATGTCATTGGTAAATGGAAAAGTTAAAATGATAATGATCAACAGTATTTCATCTACTAATGAAGTTGTTTGAAGAATTACTATCTGAAGTCCTAAAAATCATTACTATTGATCGTTTTCGAAATCGAATTCTCTACAGTTATGTCCAAGCTGTAATCTACACGTAATTGATAGTATCAATGGAGAGTAGTCGCATTACACTACGTATTTACTAGGTAACAAAAATATCAATATAATTCAATGATTCATTAATTTCATGCGACTTACTTTTTGTTAGTTCAAACTAAAAAAGTGAACACTTCAGTGTTAATTAGTTGGAAACTGTGATGATACAGATGTTCAGCGTTTCGTTTCTTACTAATCCATCAATTACATCAGCTCTCATTTGAAACTAGTTTCATATTAGATCAGTTCCTATCATCAATAACTTTCTAACACCTATATCTTACCACTTCTAGGTTTGTTCGTATGTGAGAACAAGTACACTTGATTTCTTTACTATATAATCAGTGTCTAAAATTCTGGATGTGTATTTACGTATGTATCAGATGATATGTTCTGCAAAGTAATGACATTTATTATTATCTCTATGAATGTGAAGATAAGTTTCATTAATCAATCAAGATGGAACCCTGATCTCTATAGACTTCAATCTAATACATGCCCCTACTTTGCTTATATCTCATGGAGATAATTTATTCCCTTACTTAACGTCAGCCCATTGTCTTATCTATAGTACATATATTAGAAAAATGTTCAATGTGCACTTTACTGAACCGCTGTATCGTTTTACAGTTGTTTTTTCAGTTTGTTATACATTCCCGAAAATAACTGACATTTCGACTTCCATGGGTAGTCGGGCGATTATTGAATCTCAGTGGAATCTGCCATCAAATTATGTAAGAATCCGTAGTCCATTAACCTGAACTGCTTTTAGACATATGTATTCTCGATCCAGATATATAGTTTTTCAGAAACCTCCATCCAATGAATAAATGTAGCTACACTTTGAGTCCATTTTGTATAATAGCATTCCCATATTTTAAGCTCGATGTCTACTCCCAACCATAATTTCCTAATCTGTTGTGCAGGTGAAGATTATGAGATGATAAACACAATGATGTGTCTTTGAAGAATAAGCTGCAAGAAATTTTTGTACTGTTAATTTAATCTAATGACCGAGCATTTGATGGTTTTCGCTTCGTACTATAGAAAATGTTTGATTCAGGACTAACGTATACTAACTCTTGTTTTGGAAAAATCAGCTGATGCTTAAGAACTTTGTGTAACCAAAGCTCTGTGAATCGTAAGGGGAGCACCTTTAGAAATAGGGACGAAACCAACAAATAATATAGGACATTATTACCTTATGCAATCGCTTAAGTTAACACACTGCACAAGCAACGCATCAAGTGGGAATCTACGAGTTAGAAACAAATAAATCGAATATGATGATATCACAAAATGAGCGAGAAGTCTACAAGACTGGGAAATTCGAGGAATGTATTATTCTTACTGAATGATCATAATCAGTGTGTTTGGAAACCTTTAAAATACTCGAGAGTTGACTTATCACACTCTGTCTGCTGCCCATCCAGTGTCACTGCTGGTCCAAACCAGCGTATAAAAGGAGGGTTGATGTGGTGCTTATACTAATTAATAAGTTCTTTGAACTTCATCGCGCGCGTAATTGAAATTACAAAACAAAGTACATCCAAATTTCTTCATTGCTTACTCTGACTTAAGTGCTAGTCTGTTTGTGACTATTAGAGTACACATCGAATAATCCTGGGAATAAGTGGTCATCAAACCGAATTCTACTAACTTTCCCAATCATAATTAGATGTAGAGAAAGCTAAGTTATCCTACTAAAAAGTGATAACCACAGTACATCAAATAAAATATTTAGAATCTGCCCCGTTACTCGAAGAATCTTCATGGTAAGAGCTAGGAGCCTTCAAAAGATCTAAAGGCAACACTCTCCTGAAAAACAGAAAAAATGAACATACAGACGTGGAATGTCCAAACAATATGGGAGGTCGTGAGGATCATTCTCATGGCCGCAAAAATGAAAACACACAGAACACGTGAAACTAACTGAACATATTTTGGACAAAAAAAATAACTTCAGAAGACTTGCTATAGTATTCCGGTCATCGGGATGAAAATACCACTCATACACACATGAGAAGTACACTGATACTGTCCAGAGAAGAAAACAAGCACTCATAGCCTAACGATCATAAAAGTATCCCTCAGAACAAAGAGAGAATGGCCAACAACGAATGCCATACTATGCTGCACACCCACCAGTCACAGCAGTGGAGACGATAAAGATCAGTTTTGTAGGAGGCAACACAGGGTATGAAAACACTGTAGGGATACATGTACTGGGAGAAAGGAACGAGAACAAAGCGAGACAAGAAAATAAGTATGTTTTCAACAACATTGTAAAACTATTCTCCTCCAAAACGCATACACGAAGGTATATGAGTTTCACCAACTCGAAATACATCAGACCACATTGATCACATCTCCATAATTAGAAAGTTCAGAATGTCGTTTTTTTCTATCAGTGAGATTTTGTCTGTTATCTCTTTAATCTATCATAAACTGTTATCTTCCTTGATTTCTCTGCTTACTTAGGACGATAGAGTAATTTTGAATGGTGTATTATTTTATGTTTCAAGACTAATTAATCTTAAAGATGAATTTTTATCACTTTTTATAATTAGTGAGTTAAATTAAACTAAAGAATTTTTAAGTTTACTATGAACTGATTACTTGAGTGAAATACAAAAGAAAAGGTGAATTTCTGTCAAGTTTGAATAAATATAAACATACCAAGAAAAATGTCTAAATTATTTCACTCAGTCGTCATATTATTTTTTCTATTTTAATTAATTACCAGTAAACTAGCTAGAAATAACAATAGTCGGCTCTTTAATAAGATAACATTCCTTATTCATCTTAGATGTCTGTTTTATATTAAATATAAAAACAACATTTATACAAAATACACATTTTTTTAGTAAACTGTGCTTAATAGTGATTACATTTATTTCTTTTTCTTTCAACTGATATTTATTCCTAGTACTTTTTTGTTTTTCTCTAATTAAATGTTCTCCATTAGTTTCCATAAAGGTAATTATAGTTTAACTAGTAGCATTGTGAATTAAGCATCTATTAACTAAACTACATTCTATTTCATCAATCATGTATGGTGAAAATGAATGCAGGCTTTTATCTATCCAAACAGAGGTTTTTATTTACTCTCTTTAAAAAATAGTGCAGCTTACCATTGCTCTTCTTATGAAAAATATCTATTTTAAATGCAATGAACGTTGTTTGAAAGGTTACATATTTTACCGAAATATTTTGTTTCGTCCAACTACTAATCATAATTAGTTTTCGATTACATGTTCAAACGAAATTTGTAAGCTCTGAATGAACAAAGTCACTTGATAAAAAGATTACTTTCCATATAGCTTTGTTATGAAGTAA